AGAGCGTCGATTGAACATTGAGGCCTCGTAGGAAACTATCATAATAATTGGCCACATAAGACATAGTTGGTAATTATAAGAATATTAGTTAGTCACAAATGTCATATTAGGAAGATACAGTAGTAACTATCCATCTAGGTCATAGTTTGTGACTTCAATAGCATCAATTGGTCGCGAAATATCTTATTGGGAAGATGTGGTAGTCATTAACCGCATAGGTTGTAGTTGGTGGTTGTAAGAGTGTCAATTGGTCATAAAGGTTGTAGCGGGAAGCTGTAGTAGAAATTGAGATTGTATTGGGAATATGTAGTAGAAACCGGTCACATAGACCATAGTTGGTAGTTGCAGGTGAGTTATTCAGCCATAGAAGTCGTAATGGGAAGTTGCAGTAGTAACTAAATACATAGGTCATAGTTGATAGTTGTAAGAACGTTTGTTGGTCACATAAGTTGTAGTGGAAAACTACAATAGAAAGTAACCATATATGCCACATTTGGTAGCTGCAAAAGTGTCAGTAGGACACAAAGGCTGTAATGGGAAGCTGTCATAGTAACTGGCCACATAGGTCATAGTTGGTAATTGCATGACATTGGTAGGCCACAAAGGTTGTAAAGGGAAGTGACTGTAGTAACTAGCCACATAAGTTGTAGTTGGTAGTTGCAAGAGCGTCAGTCACCCATAAAGGCCATAATGGAAAGTTGTAATAATAACTAGTCATATAAGCCGTAATTGGTAGTTGTAAGAGCATCAGTAGGTCATAGAGGCTATAGTAGAAAGCTACAATAATAATTGACAATATAAATTGTAGTTGGTAGCTGCAGGAGCGTCAGACAGCCATAGAGGCCATAGTGGGAAGTTATCTTAGTAGCTGACCACATAAATAATAGTTGGTAGTAGCAAGAGCATCAGTCGGTTTCAAAGGCCGTAGTGGGAAGCTATCGAAGTAACTGGCCACATAGGTTGTAGTTGGTAGGCACAAGAGCATCAATCAACCTAAGGCTGTAGTGGGAATTTGTAGTAGTAATTAGTCACATGGGTCATAGGTAGTGCTACACTGATTAGCGACTGCAACCCTTTTCCTGAGTTTACCATTTTACAAAAAATACATCACTTGTTTATATATAATGTAAAAAGATGAAAAGGTATTAGGAATAACCGTTGTATTCAAGTACGAAGGTCATAAGCAGTTGTCGTTGAGAGTTATCATTTCATCTTTAATAGGACTTTATTTGTTACAACATATTTGGGATATCTCGTCAGCTAGCAGAGTTCATTGATGGAGGCAAGCAGGGGCAGCTAACAATGGATGATGAAAACTGGTGGACGATGGTCAACGATACCCTCTAGCTACGGAGACCAAATGTTATCGTCGAGTCTTTAGTCTAAAACAACAATGAAATTTGACTCTTTTTTTTTTTCTTTCAAGTGAAGAGAATGAGTCTATTTATAGCATCCGAGGGAGCATTTTAGTCAATTGGCAAATAACTCCCATAAACACCCAAATTGAATGACTCATATTGATCCCTTTGATCACAAGGGATTTTTTAATGATTTGAGGGCCTTAATTATCCCTTAATTGATGGATCTTGGGCTCATTGGATTCTTCTCATCACGATGTTACGTTTGCTTAGAAATATGTCAAATTTAGAGTTCATTTGCCCATTTAATTAATGATTTGAAGCCTTCAAATTTATATTAATAGTTTGATCTAAACTTGATCGTACTCACATCAGATCAACTTTGCTATCACCAGGTTCATCTTGATGAGACAGGTAGTTCAACCACAAACTTGTTGAAATCGCTGCCCTCAATGACCTTTAATTTGAAAATGAAATGTTTTTTATAAAAAAAAATCTTGAGATTCATGCCAAATGATAAAATTTCTTAATGTCGCATCACACCTAAAATTTGATGATCAATTTATAACATAATGATTTTAGGATCTTCTAATTGGTTCAATATGATAATGTTCTTACTCTATGTTCCATGACAAAATATTGAAAATGTATTCAATATTTTATCCTTTTGGCGCAGAACAAATTACTGATGTCCTCTATAATGCAAGGCTCGTCCGATACCTTGATTATTTTCTGCATGAAAAAAGCAAAACGTAGGATATTTTAACAAAAAATATAGACGTTAATAACATTTGTATAAATTAATATTCTTCAAATTAAATCGATAATAATTAGGAAAGCCAAATATTTACATACATACAACTCAATTCCTAAGTATTTACATATCTAACAATTGAATTTTAATTTCTACATATATGCCACCTGAAACTATGCATGAAAGCATGTATTTCACTGTTTAAAAATTAAAATAATGATATTTTGATAAGGTATTTAAAAATTTAGGTGGTATAAATATAAAAGATAAAGTTTAAATATTAGATATGTAAATACATTAAAATCGGTTGGTATGTAGGTAAATGCCCCATTTATTCCGCAATCTATCATTTTGCTTGTTTTGTAGTATTTTATGGCTTTCCTCTCTTAGTTATGGCCTTAATTATTGCATCACTTGTACAGAATGATTCGGTCATGGCAAATGAGTGACACTCCATGTCAGCATGTGCTCTCATCTAAGGTTAGTCAGACAAGTTGAAATCCTATTGATCTCGTTTGGGTCATAACAATAGAATAAGTCGCTTTCAACACCTAAAAAGTAATAGTCCTTGAATGATAAACAATTCATAGTTACCTGAGAGTACTCACAAATACTGACTACAGGTATAGCTTCGGAGCCCCTAGAGGAATTAAAGTTTGAGTTTATTTGTAAACTCTTAAGAACATTCTCCAGAAAATCGCCAATAAGCTTATTGGTGATGGGGAACATCATTTCAATTGAATATGAGCAAACATGTCTCCAGATAAACCCTAAAGGACAAAGTGCTTGCTGCAATTTTCCCATCCCTCTAGCCATGCATAGAGGTAGCTTATTCTTTCATTCTTATCACATTATCCTGTCGAAGAGCTAAGAGAATTGGAGAACTAAATGTACCTAAAAAATGAGTTTTCTTAAGCTGCATAAAAGAACAAATACTAAATGAGCTTTATGAGCCTAATGGATCAAACTCATCGATCATGCCTTTAATGATTTGATTCTGACCATGCCAATAGTATTTATTAGCCGTACCTTTGAAGATGACAAGTTACAGAGCTTCATGCTGCCTAGAAGAACCCCATGAATACCTTCGAGACTTGTTAACATTGGGTTCATTCAATCGGGTTCGTTAAACTTAAATCTTCAAGCGAGTTCCTGCAAAAGAACTTGCTCACATTTCCCGAGTTCTTCTTCCAAGCTCGCTACTATTTGAGTCCTCCTACCAGGCTCATTGATATCCACATGGCTGCTGCAACAAACTTCATAAACAATTTTTTGAGGCAAAAGGAAGAAAACTTCATTTTACCATCAAGTGCATTACAATTATCGATCGTCGGATGTGCATGATAGAAATCTTGTCAACGACAAGTCTATCCATGACCCATACAGTGAAGCCTATGATATAACAGTTTATTTATTCTTTAGACTCTACGCGGGTACATAATCTTTATGGTGTCTAAATAAGAATCAAAGGGGAGAAGATCTCTCTCTCTCTCTCTCTCAAACATCTCTTAGCTTCTTCCCACTTTTTTCACAAGGTCTCTCCCGGATCATATGTGTTCACAGATCATACGAGATCATAGGTATTCAACATCATGATTACTTTTAAAATACAGGCCTGGCTTCAGCCCAATTCAAAGCACAATGTGTAGGGTCATTTTTCCATTTCACATTTCCATGATAAAATTTTTAAAATACTAAGCAATCATTGTATCAACAAGTTTAGTAGATGAAATTTGTTTAAAAAAAATTTGGAATCAAATACCAAATTTATATTTCCATATTCAATATTCAAACAAAAAACAACAAAAAATAGTAAACAATAACACGGCAAATCATTTATATTTTCTCAAAAATTTCACTTGTATTTTCCTAACTCAAGTAATCCCAGATCTCTCAACCAATATTAAATCATTTAATGGTATTATAATCACATCAGAAACAAATGGAACCCACCACAGCATAATGTCAGATATAAATTTGCAATTGCAAATAACCATTCTTCAATTCATGTCATTGCTTTGATGGTACTCATTCTCTGTCAAACTAAAACTTTGGTTGAAGAAGATGATGTGACGTGCGGCGCACAAAATGTATATCAGTCTGTCATTTTATTTGATTAGTATTTAGTTTCCTCCATTAATTCAAATAACATTTAACAGGGACGGTAAACAATTCTCTGATTTTAACAATATCAAACTGCAGCAACAGAAGAGAAAAATAGAAAGTAAAACTCGGGGCAACTACTAAAGTGTAATCCATCTTAAGAATTTTGACGCTTTCAAGCCTGCCAAATAGAATTTCGAGGTTTGAAAAATTGAATGGGAAATGAAAGACTTCAAAAGAATGATGGCAATCACCTTACTCAGTTCTAAAGATCTTATATAACAACACTATCAGTTGAGACAAGATTAAAAGTGTAATATACAATCGCATAAAATTATTAAACTCTCTCCCACTTATACTTATTTGGGAGGTTAAAGCCCCCACAGCCCAACATAACTATAACCATTTTATTCGGATATAACCTTCTTACTGCCTTCTAAATAATTTTATAATAAGAAACATTTTATCATAACTAGTGTCAAACTTTGAAGAAAAAACATATTAACTACACAGCTTTCAAAAACAAAAAAAAAAATCTCATATAATTGCAGCAGCCTCAAATAAACTTGTATAGTAAAAAGCTATAAATCAAATAAAATGATATTTTTCATAAATTAATAGTGTTTGTAGTGTTTCTTTCCTGGGAAGACTTTATCATCTCCCTTCAACCATGAAAGTCAACGACACTCATCATGATAAAGATCATCTAAACTGCTGCTCAGTTTGCAGGATAAGAAAACAAAAGCAAATGATGCCAAAAAATGGCTTTCACTCTTCTATAAAAACTTTATCCAAAAAAAGTTTGCTTAACGTTTCCTATGTAATAACGAGAACCGTCACATTGAAAGACTTAAAACCAACTATCAAAATAACTAAAGTCGATGACATTCAATACAAATTATAGTATCAAAGAAAGCTTATATTAATACTCTACACCAAACACATCCAGAATTATTGTTCGTAAAACAAGCAGGGCCCACAAGATCAACATTAGCTCTTTGGGCAACTTACATATAACTAAGAATTCACTTTTGGAGCCCATCCCGCAATCACGTAGTCGTTTGAAGCTGGTTTGGTCTTCACAAAAGAGTTTCGGTTGAAAAGTAACTGTGCAGGCAAACAGAGAATTTGCAATAAATAAACTGTCGACTGAATGGCAAGAAGAAGACCAAAAAGAAATAATGGCCAGCATTTTTTGCGCAGAAATAGAGATCAATCGCAGGCTATAATTAGAAGTTTGAATAAGATAAGGCTCTCGCTGAAGCAATACTTTGGGTCATAAACAGAAACAGACGATCAAGCAGTGAACCAGGGGCGGAACCATTCAATATTCAAAATTACCAAAAGTTGAAATTTTTTATGTTACTGAGGGGAAAAAAATCTATTCAGAGTGGGCAAAATGACAATATTACCTATAAATTATATTTAAAGAATATTAAATTTTCTAAAATTTATAGAGAAATCTCAAACTACAAAGTGGGGAACTACCCACCCTACCCTAGGCATAACCTAATTCTGCCACCTTGTAGCACAACAAGCCAGGAAGGTACTTCAGAGGCCAAACTAGTGCCGTTGGAAGGGCTACCAGCCTGCCTGTATAAAACCACCTACTTAAGCCATTCAAAGGCCACCACAGATCTGGGCTTTGCTCCAACCCGTGAAGGGCAGTGCAAGGTTGCCACTTATATATATATATATCAGTTCATCCCTTGGAGACTCAAAAGGGTTGGTCGAACCAGACTACTTGCCGCTGAACATCGATGCTAGTGGCCGGGTGGTTGCTGACCAACAATGGCCCAAGGACAGGTCACAATGGATAGTTATTTATGCAATTAATTGTTGATTTTTCATAGGATGGTTTCATAAAACGATTAAAAAAGACCACTAAATAAAATTTTCAATTTACATAATAGCAAAAAAACATATTTTTAAATTTTACCAAAAGCTTTAAATTCAGTGCACTCAATGCATGCGTAAACTTAGTGATTTAATGGATATGTGCCAATGAAGGAGAAATTAGGTTTTATCCTTCTTAATGAACAAGCTTGACTAGTATTCCTAAAAAATTATTTGGGCAAATGAATCTCTAATTTTTTTAACAAAATTGCCCTTAAATGTATAAATGTATGGTAACAAAATATTTCTATAGAATAAAAGTGCTTCCAGCTTTTTCATAGATATTCTTGCATTTCTTCATCCTTTTTGTGTTGAGATTTTTTCCTTCACCAGTTATAAACAACCATCGAGATTTATGAGCACCGGAAAAAGAAGATCGCTATAATGGTTCACCAGTACGAATAGAATTGATTGGACTTCATTGCTTATAGGTGAAAACTTTTCATGCTTAAATGTTATGAACTTTTAACTTGATTATAATAAGCATTAGGACAAAAAATTATGAAAAGATGAGTTTCTAACCATAAGTAGTTAGATTTTGTAAGATAGTCCATAACGGCTTGTTTATCACATAAATACCAAAGAATTTATAGGTTATTTAGACTCAAGTGATATAGATGTCTTAAGCGCCAATGCAAATCTATAATGAGATGCGTGAAATCATGCAATCACACAAAACTCTGCATTTCACAATCGCATAATTTAAATAATTTCTTTATTCATCAGATGGAAATTAAAAATACATAGAAAAACACAAATCATAATTTAAAAGCCTTCTACCAAAATATAATGCAAGTAATTCAAAAACATAGAAATCATACAATTAACAGAAAATCATGCTATTATAGCAATCAAGATTGAATCAAACATGCAAACGAAATCAAATACTTAGGTTTTGTTTGGGGCAATTGCAGCGGTTTTTAAAGAAGCACTGTGAAACAATTGTTCAAAAAACTACGGTAACAATTAAAAAAAAATTGAAAAAGTTAAACCACAATATTCTAGTAGCCACCGCGGGTAGTCAGGTATGGTGGGAAAACACAACTTTTTGATAACGTAGGCAAAACACAATTTTGCCAAAAAGGAAAAAGTGCGGTGTGGCACTACGACGCCATCATACTGCTACCGCACAACCGCCCCAAATGCACCCTTATTAAAAAAAATATATCACCAACTCATACCTTACTATCGCACAAGAAGATAGCCTCTACCAAAAAATTTTCGTTATCACACTTAATGTGAGAGCTAAAAAAATACAATTTCAAATGATAAGTATTCCAAAATTCAATAATCATATTTTTGTATGCCTTGCACCTCATTTTATACTCACAAAATTCACTCAAATTTACAAAAAAGATAACAAAAAAATATAATTGTATTAGATAAGTCACCACAATAAAAAAAGAAAGGTTACTTGGTGTAACACAAGATTAAACAGAAAAAACATAAATCAAAAAAGCCCATGCCAAGCTATAAGTATTCCAAAATTCAATAATCATATTTTTGCATGCCTTGAACCTCATTTTATACTCACAAAATTCACTCAAACTTACAAAAAAGAGAACAAAAAAATATGATTATATTAGATAAGTCGCCACAATAAAAAAGAAAGGTTCCTTAGTGTAACACAAGCTTAAACAAAAAAAAAAAGATTAATTAAAAAAGCGCATGCCCGGCTATAAGTCCAGTCACAACCCTGTTATTCTGGAAAACAAATCACAAAAGCAACTATAAAAGAAAAATAAAACATATTACAAGCCTCAAAATAAATAAAACAAAGACCAATTATTAGTAGCCAATGTTGCCTAAGGTATGTACTTTGTTATGGACTTTTAGATAATCATTTAAACATAAACAAGCCAACGCCAAATCTTAAGCTCACACTAATTTATAAAAGACCATTAAGAGTTGTAAAAATCATGCTTAAAAATAGCTCATTTGAAACCCATAAAAGCCTTTAACTAAATGTTTTACAATCAAATTAGACTTGAATCTTTTGGATATTATCTCTTTTCTTCTTCCCACTGGATATAATAGCTTCATATTTTCATCATGAATGTACCTCAATATTTTCATCTCAAATGTAGCTTCTCTCTACCATATTTCATCCTTCTTTCTTCACTTCACGATGCTCTCAAAATAGCCCACTAAAGACTCAACATCTCCAATCTACTGAAATTATATCCTATTTCATAATTCTCTCTTATTTTTCTTAAAAGTCGATGCATTTTCTTGAACTGAACTACTCTAAATTTATGTAACTTTTCTGTAGCAACGGATATAGGTTTCATATCAAGCTTATCAAAACTCATTAGAAGGCTAAGGGCTCAGTCTTACCTCCCTAGGGAACATGAAAACATCAATAAGAAAATTGGCAACACTTTCAAAAAAAAATTTATTGGCATGGTTCTGCTTAGTTTAAATCACTATCTCACTTAGCTAAACTAACCATACACATATAAGTATTTATGTCAAAAAAGGAATCGAGTGAAAGCACATAGACTTAGAAGCCAATTGTTGGTAGCCAAAGCTGTCGAAGGTATGCACTTTGTTATGGGCTTTTATATAATATTTTACACATAAACAAGCGCCCATGCCAACCTTAAATTCATTAGGACCAGCTCTATTAAGCTCACTGAATTATAAAAGGCCATTAAGAATTGTAAAATTCATGTGTTAATAACAACTACTTTGAAGCTATCAAAGCTCTCAAATAAATCTTTCAAACATAAAAAAGAACCCACACAAGCCCTAAGCTCTACCTTTCTTAAATATATAAAATCTAAAACACCTACTCTCCTAATTGGGTCATAAGATGGTTGGCATTTAATGTGACCAAAGCGTATAAGGCGGCTCTCTCTAATATTGTCTACCACTAGAGCTATTTCAACACTTTCACATATATATTTGTTTCACATTTTCTCTAAAGCCACTCATCCGCCTAAGCAGTCTCATCTCAAAAACACTTAACTTAATTTTATGCTTATTTTTTGTAGGCTAACATTCTGTGCCATAAAGCATTACAGGTATCACCGCCATCTTACAAAATTTTCCTTTAAGTTTAAGTGGTACTTTTCCATCACACAATAAGCCTGATGCATTCCTCCACTTCAATTCCTCCACTTCAACCATCCAACTTGAATTCTACTAATAACATCCCCATCCATATCACCATTACTTTAAACAATAGATCTGAGATATCTAAAACGTTGACTTCTTCTAATGACTTGATCACCCAAATTTATAGCCCTACTACCAAATGTACTACTACTAAAATTATATTCCATGTATTCAGATTTAGATATACTCAAAGGAAAGCCTTTAGACTCTAAAGTTAACCTCAATATTTAAATTTTTTCATGAACTATCTCTAATCTTATCCACAAGAAGGATAACATCAGCGAAAATCATACACTAACATATATCCTCCCATAAATATTTGATAAAAACATCCATAACAAAAGCAAAAAATGCGGGGCTTTAATAAAACCAATCTTTGTTGTAATCCCACTAAAACAAGAAAATATTTGATCAATCCTCCTTGTGTTCGTACACAAGTAACAACTATAATAAGCATCTTTACTGACTCGAATATTAGTAATATCAACACCTTTTTTTCTAGAACTCTCCAAAGAACATCTCTTGAATATTGTCATAAGTTTTTTTCTAAATCAATAAAAATCATATGTAAATCCTCCTTACTCTCTCTATACTTCTCCGTATAGCTTCCCAAAATGATTTGCTCGACATGAATCCAAATTGATTTTGAAAAATTTTTGTATCACATTGTATCCTATATTTAATTACTCTCTCCCACAACTTTAATAATTGAAACATTAACTTAATTCCCCTAAAAGTTAAATTATCATGATTCTTAATCCGCTCATCAGACATCTTTTAGTTTTTAAAATAATATTAAAAAGTTTAGTAACCCAAGAAATTCCTAAATCTTCTAAATATTTTCACACTTCTATTGAAATATCTTTAAGTCCTATGGTTTTTCCACACATGTTTCTTTAAAACCTCTTTAACTTCCATTTTACTAAGGTGGTGGTAGAAATAAAAAATTGGTTATTATTTATGATATTAAGATCACTAAAGTTCCACAAGCTTCATTGAAAATTTCATCAAAATACCCCACCCATCTATATTGAATATTTTTTCATCTAAAAAAAATATTTTTTTTAATTTCATCATTAATATGCTTTACTTAGATTAAATATTTAATTTTTTATCTCTTTATTTAACTAGTTTATACATATATTTTTTACCATCTTTAATATCTAATATTTAATTTATTATAAAAATCATTAAAAGCAAAATTTTTAATATAACAAATTATTCTCTTAAACTCCATACGAATCACCTTATATTTTTTCCAATTCTCCAAACTTATACATCTTTTTTTTTTTACCATTTCTTGCATATTATCATTCCAACGTCAACTACTTTTATTCATAAGTGATTTTCCTTTTGATTTTTAAAGCATATCTTTTAAAGCTTACTTAATAGTACTCTTTATTTTATCCCATAGTGTCAATTTTTTCATGAACATCCTTAATTTATGTTCTTGAAATTTACTCATAAAAATTATTTTATTAGGACTTTTAAGTGCTCAAATCTAATTTTATGACAATATTTTATTGTATTTTTCATTACTTAACCCTTCATTTTAAAATTCAGAACCAATAATTGATGTTGGGTACGTAAAATTTCACTTAGAATAACCTTATAATTTTTACAATTTTGACAATCCATTTTTCTCATAAACGAATAATCAATTTGTGTCATTTTAGATAGATTATTATAAATAATAATATGCTAATATCTTTTCTAAAACAAAGTATTAGTAATAAAAAAATAATAAGCTAAAAAAAAATCTATTATAACTCTTACCTTCTTCATTAGTCACTCCAATATTCTTAACCATACTAGAGAAAATTGCAATGATAAGAAAGAGTTGCTCGTCATAAAAATGGCATATGCCAACATCCAATGGGAAGTAGGGAACAATCATTAACAAATTACTTCCCCCTTAGATACGCAATCATGGCAAGTGTTTCAATTTATAAGCCTCATAACTAGCTTAAATTCAGTTTACTGAAGGCAATTGGGCACCATCGATAGAAATAGCCGCATTATGCTACATATTTAAGAGAGATTGGTGCTAAAGGAAAGCCAACAACCTCACCCAACCAACATTTAAACATGATATCAATTTGGTCAACCCAATCAACCCATTCAAAAATAATCCTTAATGGTGGGGCTTATGATTTCATATTGCACCATGCTTAAATACATTATTAGCTAAGAAAGTTCTTATTGAGCAAGTCAAAATTACTTATCTGTGGCCCATTTGTGCATCCACTTATTATCGATATGCCAAATATTAAACTGCACTATCGCCACAGAAATGACTGTAAGCAAGATGAAGCTCTCGCACAAAATTGTGCCAAATGTCATCCAAAATTATCATATCATGCATCACAAAAAATAAGGTTCCCATATTTTATTGACGGACATCTCTATAATTAAAAAAAAAACAGACAAAAAAGAGAAATTCAAAAATATCCTTAGGAGTCTAAGCAGAAAAAACATTTAATCACGTTAAAAATGGCAAAAAATATAAAAATTTCTAAATAAATTTTAAAATGTTGAAAATAAAGACTTTTTCCCCTAATTGGGAACATGTCCTAAAAATTTAATTTCCAAATGTTAGTTTAAAGTTTATATTTTTTTCTTAAATATAAGGAAAGTCGTACATAATAGAAAAAAATCAACAAAAGATGAAAATTTTTAAAGGCGCTCCTAAATTAGGGCCTTATTCCCTAACTAGCTTCATTGACTAATAAAATCTCATAAACTAATTGTTGTGCTTATCTCAAAAAATATGCCACCTATAAATTGATGCTTCAAGAAATGTTCCACCATACCAATGCCCTTTTAGGCATTTAAGGGCACATTGATAACCAATGGCATATTTTAAAGACCTGTAACACAACTAAATCTATCAAGGCATTTATGGATGTTGCTACTCTAAGCAAGAGTCCAAAGGTAATACGAGCTCCAACCAAGAAAAATGCCCTTAGGAATAAACACTAGTTCTCAATTTATTTGGTAGCTTTAGAACCAATCTCAACCCAAGGAATGACAAAAAATCTTTCCACAACATAAAGAACCATGGGCCATTATGATATGATGTGAATCTAATTGTAAATAGGTTAGTGATTAAAAGTGAATAAATAGGATTTTTAATTAGCTTAAATACCCCCATTTACGGAGATTAGGAGAGATGAAGAATAACGAGTTCACCTTTCTCAATCTAGTTCTTTCTTCTCTATTCCTTTGGAGTATTGAACAGCTCAAAAAGCTCTTAATGAATCAAATTCTCATCAATTGTGCTTTTATGATCGCACCTCCATTTAAGAACTCGCATCCAAGCACTTAGCATCATTTGCAAGATTGTACTTCATCCATAACCTTACCTAAACATAATTTTTCGATTCCACAACCCTTTCAACTTTAGCTTTCACGCCCTAGCCATGTTGTGCTTACCATCCTATTCTCCATTCGGCATCACAATATGCAATCTACTCAACATTGCTCAAATTTGTGATCACAATCCTTAACCTCAGCACATTGTCATGTCCGATGAGTAGCCAAGATTCAGTGATTTCACACTTGCACATATCCTTGAGACAATGTGTTGAGCTCATTATGTGTCTATTGCCTTGGATCTTCATCTCCATCCTCCCATCCTTCATGCAAGAATACTGAAGTTTGCAATTCCAACTCCTTCGCTCAAAATCACCAAGACAAAGTTTGAGCTCGCTATTGCCCTTTGCCAAGACAACAATCATCATCATTCCCTTCTTGCGCTAAAGATCTTGCATATCATCTCATTTTCTAGAAACCCATTGTCGCCTCAATGATATCAATATTTTGTAAATCATTGTGGACTCAAGGTCTATCCTACTCCATATTTTTTGGCTCCTTTTGAAGGAGAAAATTTATCATAACTAGTATAGAATTTTATCAATCACAAAAATTGTGTTTTGTTTCCTTCACTGTTCATGGCATCATCAAGTACACTAGTTCATCACCAATAGTTAGTTAGTTGCAGTTTCAACCTCATAACATTATCTTGAATATCCAAGAAACCCTCTCCCTCCATCACAACAATATTTCCTTCATCTTCAGTCAAGATCAAGCTTCACCATTTGAGAACATTTCATGCATTTAATTTTTACTATGACCTACTATCTTATCCTAAGTGATGTTTAAATCTTCTCATCTGCCTTCAAGCCAACACATAAGGCTGGGTGGCGAATTATGTCCATGCCTTCAGAATCTCAAATATCTTCAAAATTTTAGAGGTCAAGATTTATCGATAAAAATCCCCTCGTCTAATTCGTTTACTGATTCGCCTATTTGCACAAAATCCAACCAGTTTTCTAATTCCACCTCTTGTTCACATATTGCAGATTATTTATCATTATGAGACTCCAAATCATCTTCAAATGCCATACAAACATCATGCTGACATCATCTTTCTCTCAGTTCATCAGCTATTTTCTTTTAATGGAGGTTTAGAAGTATCTGATTGAGTTATACAAGAATCTACGAACTGGATGAAAATATAGCTAAGTTATTTTGAAAAAGAATGGTTTGAAAATAACCAATATTGAAAATGTGTTGGTGTAAGCCCAAACACGAATCGTTGTAAGTTGTTTTCGAATTGTGGTGATCAATTATTCCATTGATGTGGATAACTAAATCTCGAAAGATAAATAGACTTTTCAGTGTCTGATTCATATTCGAATAAGTTGGCCTAGGTAACATACAGAGTATGTGTTATATGAAGCTGACACCAAATTTGGACTTCTAAAGTTATGCTCTATCGAGGTAAAACTTTGGTTGTAATATTTAGACATCGTGAATGTACTTACCTAGTTATCTTTATTGCTAGAGTTCCAAAAGATTTGATTCGTCCTAGACCAAACAATAACGTAACATATAACATTGGAAAGTGATTATATCTTTGAGCTAAAAGTTCATTAACTTGAAGCTAAATCCAAAGCCAAGGCTCTTGAATCTGAATTTAAACCCTAATGACAAATCCCAATACAATAAAAGCACAAGGTTTTTTTGCAAAAATTTACGTTCTTTAAATCCATTCATCCATACAAACATAGTATATGAATAAGTAGCATCCTTGAGTGAATACCTTTAGAATAAAGAGCCAATGGGCCTCTTTCATAAAAAAAAAGTTATTCAATTGTGTGAGATAATTAACTATGGTGATTGGCCAATAGCAAATTTTGAACCCAAGATTTTAAGAAAAAATGATACTGAAAGTAAATTTAATATTATTTGTATCCATGGATCTCCTTGAAAGAGATCTCAAGTTTACTCAGCAGATCACTTGACAGCTTTTTTGAAGAGCTCACAAAAGGTAAAGAGCAAGCCAACAAATTCACCATCAAATGTGAGCTTTATACTGAGAAAAGAAATATAATGTTGTCTCAAATAATAAATCTCTACATGAATAAGAGCGTTTAGTCTACTGTAAAAGCTAAGCTCAACCATTTCATGGTCAGAAATTAAAAGTTTTTCAAAAAAATCATATGCCTACATAATGATTTGTCAAAAAAACATATGCCAACATAATGATTCGTAAGAAGTGGAAAATATTTAGAGCTAGACAAAAGATACACTGAGTAGCAGCAGTGGGCAAAAACAGAACTAGTTTCAACTAAGGTGGATACCTTCGTGTATGAATGAACATAGGTCAAGTTCTCTGGAATGCTCCAGCCTTTGAAGTGACCAAGGGCAACAACAAGATGGAATAACTTCGGTGCTAGACTGAAATCCACAGCAGAAACGTTTTCTCCATTTATATATGGTCCCTGATATAAAAGAGAATAACAAAAATAGGTTTAAACAAGTTCAAAGTGCTTTGCTGACTGAGCAGATTTTGACCTATAATCTATAATTAAAAACATTACTGTTCGAATTGAACAATACGAAGACACCAACACCTTCAGGTAAAAGAATAAAATCATGAAAAAGTTACTTTTATAGAAAATTGAAATCCCGAATCAGAGAATGCAGCCAGAAAAAAAAACAAAACACAAAAAGAAAATAAATAAATGACAAAAAAAAACAAAGCCTTCTTTGTCAAGGGAATAACAAGGCTTTAACAAATTATATTAAATAAATCCCAACCAGGAACAGCAGCCAGCACAAAATGAAAGTGAATCCTCTACAAATTATAATGAAAGTTTGCGAATAAAGAAAGCACTATGCGGACAGTGCACAAAACACCCAAAAAAAAAAAAAACAAAAACAAAAACGATCAATAATCCACAAACTTCTTGCACAAAATGAACCATCCGAAAGTGGTAAATAATGAACAGAAAGCAAGAAAACAGAATTAAGAAAAAAAGAAAAGTTAAAAGTGTTTAATGAATCAAAGAGCTAAATAATACAAAAACACGTTAAGAAATTGACATATCAATACATTAGTTTTAAGAAAATCATCTAGAGCCTGTAACTCATTCAGCAATGCCTGCTCTGATCCATCATTGGGGTCCTTGCTCTTCAAGAAATTTACAAAAGAGGAAAATATCTTCGAACCCCTGAAGTAAAAAGGAAAAAAAAGAAGTTAGATGATTGTGTAGTTTCTATTCCAATAAAAATTCTAAAGTTACACTAGATAAGCTTTCTAATAAATAGGGAACTGCCAACAGATCTTCCAAAAAAAATAGCCATTATCTCAAGGATTTCATGTCCAAGTGTCTCAATAAATGACTGATAAAATGAAAACATCACATTTACATCTCTTAACAATAACGTGTTCATAATTTTTATATATACGTGTTCCGCTTGCCGTCACTCTTTAGTTGACAGAGTTTGTAAGACCACTGGGGTCACAATCCCGCTCCTATGTTCGGGATAGAATTCTTACATACATCAGGTTGGTCAGGAGGCTCGTATAATAGCCTTTGACCAATCTTTGTCATATATATATATATAT